TAGGTACTACCACATTGGTGATGACCTCCCCTCCTCAGCAGCAGTTCCATTGGGAAACAGAATTTTCTGAAGAGTTGGAAAAGTGATAGGAAGTCGAGAAAACTAGGGGAAGTGGTAAGTGGAATGGGAATGGGGTAGGTATCAAGAGGAAGTTTGGAGAATCGTACCGACACTGTCATTTACTTGGTGTGACCCATGCCGTTCATTCTATTAGGTTGTCCAAAAGTTCGTGGACATTTTTTGAATCTCGTATCAGATCTTTCCGCAGCCATTTCGAGATCCAGTTATGTGGTCTATGGGAAGTGTGTTAGGTAAGCATTCCACAGCTTCTTCACCGTCCCTCGCAGTCGCTGTTCTCATATGAAAAACGGTAATTGAAATTCATCATTTTCGACACACTTCGCTATATGAATCTCTACCAAGCCACAACGTGGTTGGAGCCATAAGCGGCATTTCCCTTATTTAGATCTTGATGTTAGCTTCCACAGTACGGCTTTGGCTCAATTGCTTCCGCTTTAGTGACTTCTATCCGGGTGAAAAACTTCGTCCAAGGAGGCCACCTGCCTTGGATTTGGACCTACTGTGTTCCTTGATTAAAACCAATTCGTACAAATCAACTTGCTACTATCTAGTCCTTACACTTGACTGGTCCCAAAGCACAAATGAGAGAGGGCCTCGCTCCCTTAGAAAAGTTCTGAAGTTCGAGCCCACAATCATCACAAGCTTTTGGGATGAGCTGATTATTAAGCTTACCATCAGGAAGCTCTATCATTTTTTTATCTTTCCCCCGCACCTCCCCCAGCCCTCCGCCCTCCGTATGCCAAACACATTCTCATCTCCTGTTGAGGCTGATTTCACCAAAAGAAGAACCAAATGTTGTAATTCCTGAAAATATTCGTGCTCACCTGCTCATCAGTGAACGAGGCATTACCCCAAGACGTTATGTATCCTACGATTCGTCTTGCACATGGCTCTATACTCGCCTGGACGAAATAGCCTAAATCACACTTCTTGGTTCTTACGCGACATGTCTCTTAGAATCTTTTTCAGGAACAAATCTAGAGATACGAGCGCTTTTCAACATACAAGCCCTAGGGTGCACCACACAGAAAAGCAGGTAAGCAGGTATGCATTTTATAGAGCAATCTCTTCGTCGCTATCGAACGGTTTAGAGCAAATAACACCCACGATGTTACGGATTGACCGATCAAGCCCTCCAGTGATGCTGGGAATGAAGAAACTGCTGATAATGCAAGAGCAGGTCTCTGCTCTCAACCGAGGTATGCTTCCTAATCAAGACTCACTATCTGCTGTAAAAGCACAAGAAGGAGGGGTGCCATTACTGACAGGTCACATGCTGCAGCAGAAGAAAAGTTTCGAAATTGCGACCCTTTCCTTTTTCACCCCTGGCAGAACTCGCTTTCCATCGTAGCCCGTCGAGGAAACAGTTCATTTACAAATAACAGTTTCAAATGGGAGCGAGTACATAAACAGATCTTAAAGAGCTGGCCAACATTTCTTCATCTCCCGAAGTGATAGTCTCAAAAAATGGAGATCCACTTAAATCGTTTCTAGTTGTGATGTTTGTCAGGGTAGTCTTTGGCTTTCAGTCCCTTTAGGATTACAAAATATTATCGCGCTCAGCTCAGAGTGCTTGGCAGCGGGTGTTGTTGTAGAGAGGTCAACATCGTTATTTCGCGAATTTGGTCGTAGCCGTGCTCCCTCCCCTCTTTTCTAGGGGACTGGTAGACCCCTTTCTCGTTATCAGTTCCCTTTCTTAGATTTTCTCAGCTTCCTTCCAGTTTTCTCACAACTTTCCATAAATTTCCCTACTTCTACCCAAAAATTTTGCTGTCGAGCGGGGTGAGGGGAAGGAGTGTATACTACACAATGAAACATAAGAGAGCACGAAAACTCAACAACCTCTCAGAGGGTCAAAAGGGAAATACGGCCCCCTGCTCCCAACACGAGCAAATACGACCTCCCTCCTAGAACATTCGTGGAACTCCCCAACAACGATGTGCCCTGGTTGCAGATGCGACTCAGTACTGCTACAATAGTTTATAATTCTTGCGTCCCACCCAGTCCTCTTCTCATAAATTCTTTTATGATGGCCACTCCTTTTGTCTTTTTTTCGATCGAAAAAAAACGCCAGGATAAACCGTTTCGCTTATTGTGCTTAATTGTTACTGCTTGTTACTTCAACTACTTCTTCAATAATCCATTGCAAACCTATCAACTGAGGCACACTAGCAGTTCAGAACATAAGGAGAGACAAAAGCTCACCTCGATAAAGTAAAACGACGAGCATGATGACTCTTACAAAGCATGGTGGAGAGTACAATTTGACAGAGAATAGGTGCCCAGTCTTTGAGTCAAATGAGTCAATGAGGTCGAGCGCCGGCCCTATACGGCTAGCCGTCAGCGGCGCACGTTTTTATTGTGTTTACCTTCTGTTGAACAAAGCTTGCGCGTAAAGTGACCGGACAGTTCACTCAGGCTCACAACTGAATTCATATGCCCAAACATGCGCAGCACGATCGAAGGCTACGACAATATTAAAGTTGTTATGATGGGATTGACCTGGAGGGTGTTGTTAACATTCAGCTGGCACGGGAATATTTTCCCTTTTCGGCTTTACTGTACATCTACATACATGGCGTCTAAGACATTTATTCGAATCGATAACAAGGCAACCATAATCACAGATTATTAGGAACAACTGTAACAATAACGCTAAGTAAGTTACCACTTGGCGACGGAGGTCCACTTACAATTAGCGTCGTAATTTAGGACAACAGTGATGGTGAGAGCACTGCCGCCATGACATAACTTTTGGATAGAACGGATGGTGATAAGACACTTGGTGACAGTACTGAACCACCAAGTGTCATAGGAGAAATGACATCAGGACACAACACCAATGGGCTCAGTATCAAAGGCGAAAGAACGTAGGGGTTGATCACATTCGGAGAGAGAACATACGGATTCAAAATGAACGGAGCCATCACTAAAGGACTAAGCACGTAAGGAGAGAAAAGGTACGGTGAAAGGATAAAGGGCAGTGGGATCGACGGTGACAGAACCCATGGCCCAAGTATAGAAGTATTCAAAATCAGGGGAGAAAAGATGTTTGGCGAAAGTACAACGGGACCCAGCACTGACAATCCGAATACCGGAGCAAATTGGTAAGGGCTAAGCACGGCGGGCCTCGCAACTGAGACCGGCAGGCCTAAGAATTCCTGTCGTCGAAAACGTCTCTGAAGAACTTTCTAGTAGTCTTTAGTGTTGGCTTGCAACTTAGTTGCTATACTTACGCATTATTTACATATCTAAAACTAACATGATTTCTACCGGCTAATTCGGCTACAGTACTCCAAAGCGCCTGTTCCCTTTTCATCTTGGGCGTGCGACCGTAGAGCTCGATCTGCTCTTCCAGTTCGGGCTCCTTCAATCCTGTATATCAATGAGAAACAATCTCATCAAGCAAATTGTTTCTGAAGATGAATATCTCCACCTTGGCCACGAATAAGTTTTCTCATCTGATCAACTTCCAAAAAAGTAAAGCCTCTTCGGTCCAGATCCATCACCTGATCGTAGCTGAACGAGGCACGCAATCGCTCAAAGCTTTCCCCAATCTAAAAGCACATGACGTCAAGTTACTCTTTTGAGGGAGCTTGCTTATCAAAATGATCAAATATTGGACTGGCAAGCTCTTTTTGGCCAGAAAAAAAATCGAAAAATTTTGCAACTTGTGTGCAACCTTTTCTGTGACATTCAGTAATTCGTCCCTGAGTCCAAAAGAATTGAGGTGATTCAAAACCTAAAAACTATTTTATCGAACATCTAGGTCAAAGGCAATAATAGACTGATAGAGCAAGTACCTTCATGGCATTCTCCACGGTATCGCGAGCACCAGAAACTTCCATGACCATCTCCAAAATGCGCTCACGGTCTTTCTCATTGAGGCCACTTGCTTCTAGCATCTATAAAATTTTTTTGATGAAGTCATGCCAAATATGAGTATTGCTAAGGTGTTAAATCCTGAAGAGGGGTAACACTTACTTTCGGTACTGGTAATATCTGTTCCTCAGAATCGTCTCTGTAGAAAGGAAAGAGTGCTGGTGAGAGGACTCCACGAGACGCTGCCTTATCCGGTAGAAGGGGTGCAAGTCGAGGGCTTAGAACTCGAGCATTGCCGCCTCCACTGAATGACTTCACAACGCCAACAATGTTCCTCAGGAATGGAGGAATGTACGGCTGCAATATGGAGGTTTAGTTGATTTTTGCTCGGAGATTGTACCATTGTACTTACTCGGTTCCACTTGAGCTCGAATCAGCATATCTCCTGCTTTCATCAAATAACAACCAGGTTCTTTGATCTCATGTATTCGCTGGGTAGAGGATTTACGATCGTGGACTTGATACAGGATTGGCATGGTGCCAGATCAAGGATGGCCAGGAAAGGATGCTTCCCATCGTGCTGAACCTTTCCTATACAGAATTCCGGGACATATCCGCTGTGCATATTTATAGAGTCTTGTCTCCCACTCTCTCTCACTGACATCTAGAACTTCTTTTCGTTCTGGAGGTCAGAATGATAGAAAGATTTCGTCGTAAAAAAGATCCAAATTTTGCAGGACCCTGCAAGGAGCGGCTTAACCACCACGAACTGCACAGCTGCGTTAGGCTGATATGAGTACAGTATACTATGTATGAAAATTAAGGGTTACGTGAAACTTGGAAGTTCCTGCATGGCTCCGTTGCGGAACTCTATAACGCACGCATATACAGGCTCCTCCCAAAGCATCGAAAGCATTTTTTGAGTCACGGATGGGCTTCTTCAAGGGGAAAGGCTCCTCAAGGGGGGGGGGTATGACGCTTACCATGCGTGAAAGTTTAAATGTGTGATGTCATAGAGGTCGTAGAACGCCATGCGGATAACTGAGCGCAGACAAAACAGAAAATGGACACGATTAAAGGGGTTCAAGTGGTCCGTAGACCAAAGCGAAGCGTCTCTGTTTCCCCCTTCTCCAACACCTGGGACACACTCGTCACTTTTTTGCACATATAAAATAAACTCTGTGAAGAGTGGAAATTGCTTATTACTACTGTGACTTGTCTTCTTACCTCACTGCTGTCCTGAGAAGAAGTTTCTTGATCCATAACTATATCATAAATTTTCTTCTCATATACGTCTCGCCCAGGTAGTCTTTCGTTTTCATCCAACTTTTTCTTCAGTTCCAACATTTTCTTGTACGTGGTTGACCATCGTGCGGGAACCTTTGATGGTTCTAGGGTGGAAAATAGAGAAACGAATAGATTCGATAGACGATGTGCTGGACTGCGGCTGGGTTGCAGAAGAGGCGGAGCTCTCTGTTGTTGCTTCACCTGAAGACATGTACCTCAGTTTTAGCTTCTTTCTTTGCTTCTGCTTCTCCAGCATGACTTGAGTTTAGCCCATCATAGGGGAGCTTATTGATGATGCATGCTATGTGAGCGGCCACACGCTACATGTTTTTCGAAAGGTTGGCAAACAATAGTTTCAGTGTTATAACTGCATTCAACAGCAAAACGTTCCTTGTAGGAACCGCAGGAACCTGAAGAACATAATTACCTCTATAAAGTCGTCGTCTGACTTTAGGACTGCTGAGGCTACAAGTCGATGCGGACTGCGCTTCGTCCTCCTCTTGAACCTGTATAATGCCCCTGTTTGACGTTTGACTGCATTATTCAGCCGAAGAAAATTCAAGCGTGTCGCTCCTCTGAACCATGCCTTTTGATGAGGTTCTCCTTCGATAACAAAGGATGATGAGGGCTGGCTGAAACTGTTCTCGTTTAGCGATTATTACAAGATTCTACATCTAAAAATGAATGGATACCTTGCTACCAAACCATACTGGTCACTAGCGTTGAGCGACTTGAGGACGCGTCTTACAGTACCGCAAAAAACCTGGAACAAGCCAGAAATCTCATTCTTCAACGGTTTCTTCACCTCTGTGGGTAACAACTTGTTTTTGAAATGGAAGATCCCGGAAAAACTTATTTGAATAGTATTGTAACCTCGAACATTCGTCAAAGTGCACAGAGAGAATTTGGTCCCCACACCGAGGTGTCAGCGCCTCGGTAACAAAATACTCGTGTCAAAGCCTGAACCTCAACCTGACGGCCCACTCAGAGGGAAGATCGTCACAAAATACCAGCGGGTCCTCAAAAGCCTTAGGCCTGTTCCAAGCTTTTTTCGGTACTGCAAGCATTGACTAGCATTAGTGTTAAGTGACAGAAAAATTAATAAGATGAGATAGCCTCTCGTTTCGCAGAAAGCTCTTTCTCATTAAAGTTTACTTTGGAATAGTAATGAAATGTCTTAGTCCATTTGCAAAGTAAATGAAACGTTTGAGTCCCAACGGGCAGTGCACCTGCTAACAATAAGAACACATTTCCACGATACCTTCTCTTGAAGTAATGGGTACAGCAACTTGTTTCCATGACTAAAATGTAAATGTATGTACATGAGAAAGAGGGGCACAAAGCGATTGGAGGGCATTTAGATAGAAGCCTGTTTGACTGAGTGAGGACGTGGAGGGAAGTGGGGGGGGGGGGTGGGGGAAGACGCGTGATTATGAAAGCATCCGCAACAGCGAGTTGACTGTTGATATCACGTCAGCCGTAACATAACAACTCGGCAGTCAGGTCATCCAGCACACCCGGTTTTCGTCGCTCGTGGAAATCGTAAGAGTGATGATGCCTATATTGATTCTCAACAAGGATCCTATAGAAGATTCATCAGCTGATGACTGCCAGGAAACAATTGGCAGATTCTGTGTGGGAACAGCTGACCATATTCTAAACAATTCAATCTCATTTTGCACTCCTACCCGCAACGCATATGCTCTCCATCTTGCCCAGGAATGTGCTTTCCCTTTCTGCTAGTCATACTATACCCATCCTGTTTGTTCACAAAAAAAATGAAGCGAACGCTAATTCACATTTTCCCGCTATAACTCAGTTTATTTTTACATTTTCTTCAACAAAACCTGCATCTTTGGGCTCAACTCGAGTATTTTCCTTCAACGGGTGTGAAGCTCAATTTGTGGCTCCATTCCACCAAAGCACGCGAGGGAAGCTAGTATAGCCATAATAAGGCAATCCCTACAACTAGAAGCATTAAACGGGTAATAGCTTAGTTCCTCACGTCAAGTGTTCTCATTGCCATCGCTTCACCAAACTCCGTTTCTCGTGCAATTTTAGGGTCTTTTTAACAACAACCTATGAATATATCATTATTCCTAACAGACCATATTTTCCCTACTAAGAAGACTTCTGGAGGTGGTGCCATTTGTGGTACTTAATGAGTCAAAATAGTTGTGGAGCAATGGACAGCCTTGCGGTTGACAAGGCTTACAAAGAACTTAACAATTCCTTGATTTCACCCACCTCTTCTTCTCCTGATTTTCTTTAGCTGCAAGCAAACAGCGTGCACTCCTTGTTATGTCCTTAGCATGGCTTATTCGTCGCAGGCATGATTTTAATTTCTCTGCATTTCCTGTAATGAGAGGGTAAACAGGGATTGATGCAATCGCCTAAATGGTGAGCAGAATGGATAGCTTACATTTTGTAATTTCTATTACACTGCTACTGATTGTAAATGCTCCCTTGTTAGCTGTTTCGAAGTTGAGAGAATGCCAAAAGAACATTTCGCAATCGGAAGTAGCGGATGACAGTTCATGCGAACTTGTAAGTGCTGATGGACTTATCAGCAAAGAAAGAAGAAGAATGATTTGTCAAAAACCATTGACTGTCCGTGGAGAAAGCACTGTACACTCGATATCCTCAATATGAGATGACAACGCAATTCATTCGTACATGGCTGTGGCACCGCTTTCGCGGGTATTTTACCGTTTTGGTAGATTTGTAGCCACTTCTTTGTTCAGCACAAGATATTACGACGGTTGTTCCAAATGGAATTATCTCCCAAAAAACCCTTCCCACGCCATGTTTGAACGAAGTCCACAGCCACGCCCTTTCACGTCGAAGGGATGTGGAGTGTGTGACTGCTAAGCTAATAGGATTAAGCGATAACCACGGAATAGCGGAATATGTCCTTGCGTCTAACTGCAGATAATTTGACGAACGAAGCCAAAAGGGGTGCTACTAGCAAAGTACTTTTGTTACGGATTGCATGGCTGTCCGAATAAAGTCTTAAGGAAGCATCAACATTCAATCACTAAGTACAGCCTTGCTGGCTGCAGATCAAGGGGCGTGTCGGTGACTGGGTTTGGCGCGCCGCCAGCTCGTTCCGCACTAGCTCTTGGGCGAACAAGCGACAACAATTGGTGGAAAGCGACTGATACGAATGATATGA